GTGAGTCATGGAGGTCGCGCCATCTTCTGCAGACTGATGGCGGTGGAATGGTGGGTGCGCACGATGCCCTCGCACTGAAATACAGTGGGAGAGTAGTAAGTGCATGCATGACTTGAAGCGAGAAGCACATGGAAGTGGAAATGCTGTGAGGTGGAATGCAGCACAGCTGTTGTCGTGCATTTTGGCTGGTCCAAGGCCATGTGGTGATGCGATAGTGGTGTGCAGGAGGCAGCGGCAGTGGCATCAACAGCAGCACCAGTGTGGCAAAGAGGAGGGCGAAATGTGAGGTTGTGCACGTCATGGTGCATGCCGTGATTTACAGTCGCCAAATGCACACACCAGCTGAAGTGTGGGGGCTGAGAGCGGTGGTACACGTGTCTGGGAGAGGAAGCCAGCATACGCTTTCTGCTTACCTATTCACCCACCCACTTACCCACCCGCCTTACACTCACCACCCATCTCCCATTGCCCATCCGCCTCCACCTACCCGCTGCCCACTACCCACGACACACTGACCACTGCTGTGTGCCTCAACACTCGCGTACACGTAGACGCGCGCAGATTTTGCATAAAGGAGTGGTGGTTGGGCGTCCCTATCTGCTGCCCGACACGATCGAATATCAGGCGCCACCACCCTCGCATGGTATTTGCTTTCACATTCGAAGTCAAGGCGAGGGAGTGCAACTGATTGGTCTTCGAAAAGGCTGCCTTCCAAATTGTGCTTGCAACCGTTGGAGCGAATGGGATGCCTGTACATTCATTTGACAATGCTTGACAGTATGTTCAGCCTGAAGGATGGAGGAGACGAAAAGTGTAACGAGGAGGGTGGGAGCAGGGAGCAATATCTTGAGCTCATACCTGCTACTCCATTTCACGGACGTAAGATAATGGGAGGAGGAGGAGTGGCAAACAGTTGCTCATTCCTACAGCGTAAACTGCCATTGCCGAAATCCGCTGACTGGTCGCCATACTTGTGCATCAAGTGTGCCAGAGTGCGCCCGCTATGAGGCATATCAGAATGGCGTTGGGAGACAGGGTCACCGTAGTGACAACGGCACCTACATGGACGAGATGGAATGAAGACGTTGAGTAGTTGAGATTGAGAGGACCTCTACTGATGACAGGCATTGGAATGGCAGTGCACTCACAATGCACGACACTTGTGCCTTCTGCCAACTGTTGCTACACTGCAAGCAGGCCAATCACGGCAGCATGGCAAATGTTGATGGAAATCGTGCTCCGAATAGGATACACAAGCAGTATAGGCGCTCAAGTGGATCACATGGAAGGCGAATATGGGAAGCACCACTTGGATGACAGGTCGTGGTTGAGGGTGATGTGGAAGGACTTTCATGCCTACTGTCACCAGTGGCAAGCCAATATAGTGGTTGTGGTGGTGGTGGTGGTGGTGGTGGTGGTGGTGGTGGCAGAAGTAGCGACAGCAGTGGTAGTAGCAGCAGCTGCTGCAGAAGATTTCTTACGAAGCAGTCGGACGTGCTACTGTTCACTGTGATGATGGTGGCGGTCAAAACACGTGTCTTCTCACACACGACTTGGTGGCGCAAGATGAGATTGGCAGTGGAGGGAGGCGAGGTCACCACCCATTCAGTAATGGTGGCAAGAAATGGGTTTGAGTAGCTTCAGTTGAACTGACCTCTGCACAAGCATGTGTCCACTGACGAGGAAGAGGAGGAGGAGGAGGAGGTGTCAAAGTAGTTTTGTGGAATTTTGTCAACAGATAGAATCGTATTGAATGGGAGACGACTTAATGCTAACACGATGGCACCATTTCAGTTACACGTGCTGCTATTTCACAACCACAAAGCGGTTAGATATTCCTTCTATTTCTTCATGGCCGCCATCCCTCTGCGTTCTCGTCTCGCCTTTCAATTTGCACATCATCACACGATTGTCTTTTGGTACTGTCAACTGGGCAAGTCTTCTGGTCAAATGTCATCAAGCGAAGCGAGACAGCTGTGGCTGCACACATGTCGCTCTACATGCACCCGGTTAACCACTCTCTGCACGCCTCTCGAGGTGGGTGACGTCGGTTGCACAGTTTCTACATGCACGCGCATGACGGTGGTACACTACAGACCCAATCGTCCATTGCGAGCTCACCTGCTGGACTTCACACCACAGCATTCCCTTTCACTGCCCCGCCTAACGACAGACAGAATGTGGGGAGAATGGTGGGTCTCACACTCACTCCTCTCAACCTCCTCATACCGTCACCTCCATTGCTAACCCTCAACTGCTCACTGTCCAGCAGTCCACCACACAATCGTACACTGCGCCAGGGACGGTGATTGTAGGCTCGACATTTGGAAAGCAGACGTGAGGCGACAGTGCAGGAGTAGTGGGAAGCAGGTGTGGCCTGTCCCACACGAGATGTCGTGTTGTGGCGCTGGCAATCACAGCCTGTCTATGCTTGGTGGGACCGGATGGCAGAGGGTGGATTGCGATGCTGACTACGCTCACCCAACAATTCATTGCATCAGTCAGTTGACGAGGCTTTGCACAGATGCAAGCAGGCTGACACAAGAGCTAAGCCAACAACTCCCACCACCTCCCATCACACCATCAGTCATCACTGTCATCACTGTCATTGTGTGTGGCTTGTCTCCCAACACCAATTGCAAATGCCAGATGTCAATGCCAATCAGCTGGTGCAACTCTCACAAATCAAAACGACTAGCTCACTTCTATGTTGACTGAGGTGGGTTATTTTGCCAACGACTTTGCCACCACATCGTCGTGGCAGCAGACCAATGTGAATGCAGCCTCGCGCGGCAGTAACCGAAGGCGCCAATAACGCTATCGGTGGAGTGCAAGTAGTGTTGCAGTGTGCTTGGATTGGTGAGGGCATGTGGGTGAAGGTGAGAAGGTGTGTGCACTCTCCTGTCAAATGCACCTTTCTACACACGCAATGTCAAGGTTGTGGAGTGAACTCTTCCAGCACAGGTGAAATGCGTTGTCACTCCGATGGTACAACACACTCTCCCACCATTGTAGCAGTGTTACCCTTGCCACAGACACCAAAGTGTGACCTCGTAGTCAGACAACTGGCAACTTCATTTGAATTGATTGACATGATTGCCATGATCGGCACAATTCTGAAGAGCTCGGCTTTGCGTTAAAGCCACGAGGTGTGGGGAAGGGCAAAAGGTGGTCGTTTTGTGCATGAGTGGTCTTTCGGTTGGCGCAGTATGTGCTGACAAGGCCACATCATCTCTGCTCGTGTCAGTCGACATTCCGTCGCCATTCAATGACATCATGAAACCACCTCGGAGCTATATGTGAGAAGGACGGAAATCCAAACCACCTCCTCCCTCCATTTCGCCTTCCCCAACTGCTCACTTGCCTGATCACTCACTCACTCACTCACTCAGTATCACTTTTGCACGTGTTCGCCAGTCTGCAGACTAGAGCGTCCATTGGTGAGGTGATTTTGAGGCCTGGTACTGGCCGTACCGACAAAAGCATCCAATTACATCACCTTCCTCGACACCCACAACTGCCACTAGCGAGGCAGCGGTGTGGGACAGCGGCTTCACCCTCTAACAACCCTACTCGCCACAATGCATAACACAGGAGGGCATTTTGATTAAAAAGAACTTAACTGCCTTCCACGGTTATTTGCATCCATTTGATGCACTTGCGCCGTGTCGCTGCAAGCATCTTCCTTTCCCACAAGCAGTGTCGACAGTCGACTAGACGAGTTCCAAAGTTGTCCTTGGTGGAAGCTTCTCAGTTTGGTGCCACTGGGTTGGAGAATGTGAGGAAGTGGAGAATGTCAAGAGAACAATCGAAGGCACATGCCTCAAAGCGAGAAGAGAGGCGAAGGCGAAGGCGGGGAGACAATCGCCAACAATGCCGACAAAGTGAGTTTAGTTTATGACACGGAGTTAGTTAGCTTGCACCACTGACTGACCTTCTCCAACACAATTGCTCGGCATCTCATTCTGCGTGGTTTTCACACTGAGTGAGGCAGGTGGCAAGGCCAACGCCATTTGCTTAATGTGTTTAAATGAGATGCCGACATGCCTCCACGACACTCCAACAAAAGCATAACTTCAAGTCACGCATGTGGCTTCAAATCTTACTGTGCACCGAATCAGCGCATTGTGGGAGGATCGTAATGCTGTGTGTGGTAGAGTGTGGATCACTTGTCGGGTGACCGAGTGGACAGGTCTTCCCTTTCCCACCACATCACTAATGTGTCTCCTCTGGTCTTAAAGCAGGAACCTGGACAGCAGTCATTTTGTGGATGCACGAGACCGCGAAATGCATTTGAAGTCTGCGGTAGTTGCGATGACATTGCAGAATGCCGCTGCACGAAGGCCGACTCCTCGCTGAGTTTGGGCCTAATTGAGGAGTGCAGCTTGGCAACATGTTAGCCTTCCCACCTACCTGACATCTCGTCCCAACTGTAAGGGACAGAGATCGAGGCAGAGCGCAGTCGCCTTTCCCTTTGCTGACTGAGATTGCACCTTCTTCGCATCAGGCACAACCGAGGCGAGAGATGTGCAGACACTGAGAAGCACGTTTATCGGTGCACGAGACAACTTGGAATTCTCACACGCCGTCAGCACCACAACATCCACCACCTCCCACGCATGCAGGTGGTCATGGAATGTGCGGCATTAGCTGACGAGCAAGAGTTGTATGCTTCGGTGGCTGGAGTCACCCGTTCAGGCAGGAGGAGTGCATTCGTCTCTCCACCGGACCGCCTGACTTCACACACAAACCTTGTTGACTGCCCACTACACGGTCAAAACTGCACTCACTCATGTCAAAGCTGTCGAGCATGACAGAGCAGCTCCCAGCTAACTCAATGCATCCGTGGTGTTGAGCATGTGGCATCGTGTTCGAGGTGTTGGAGTGTGGAGTCGAGCATAGTGTCGTCGAAAAAAAAAAATCTCAAACACAATTGAATACATGACGAGTGCCACGATGACAACTGCTGTCTTGCAATTCACGGAACAATTGCTGGTGATGCAACACCTCGTCAATTTCAGCCTCCTGTGGCAACAACATTTGACAATCTTTTCTGCGATACTGCGACACACACGCGCACCATCTACTCTATAAGCCGACCGCCAGTAACACCTCCCACATCACCAACTTCTCCCAAGGTGTGAAACAAGGACAACAATTCCGCTGTT